TATGTTATTATGGCTGTGTTTATCGTTCATTTATTATTTCTTTCTATCGTTTAGTTCACCTATGAATTTTTACTTGCATTAAAACCCTAACTCACCATCTACATAGTCATTTGTATTTTGAGTAAATATATATGTGTGTACAATGAAACTGACATCAGCTTCCCTAGCGGTGACGTACAGATACTATTAATATAGCAGAAGAGTATGTAAATTTATGATCATACGATGTTGTATTCTCTTGACCTATTCTGTGAATAAATACCCTGCTAGAAGCTTCACTAAGAGAGATATAATCACGAGATAGTTATTGAAGGATATAGTTTGTCACTCTATATTGTTATCCATATTATTATTGATAATGAAAGGTATTGTTTGAATATTGTAACTGCTTTATTTATATTTATTTATTTTGGAATTAGGTTTTTCTTTCTGGTTCTTTTTCCTGCTTCCATTATTATTATTTATAATAAATTATTTATTAATATTGTTGTGAAGTCTTGACCAGGCGTTTGTGTATTAACTGTGTTGAATTTAATTTTAAGTGTTGTTATTGTCAGTAAATTGTGTTTTTGTTGTTGAACTCTGATTGTAGCGGTGTGTTCATTTTAGACCGTTACACACTCACTTATTTTGTATAAATTGCGAAAATATATAAATTTACTAAAGTTTTCTTGTTTGCTGTTGAGCAGAAAACTAAACAGTGGACTATAAATGTTGTATCCATCACGGGCATCGAAGCCCAGTTTTTAGTGTTATAAGCATTCAGCCTTGCCGCTTGCAGTGGAGAATAGGTATTTTAGGATAGTAGCTTTTTTAGAGTTTTAATATATCAATTTAATAACAGTTTTATCATCAAGGAATTATTTGTGGAATTATTTATCTTAATGTTACGTCTCCGTTTGTTAATTAACTTTCCGTAACTTCGTTTGTTTTGTTTGTTTGTTTTTGAATTTCGCGCAAAGCTACACGAGGGCTATCTGCGCTAGCCGTCCCTAATTTAGCAGTGTAAGACTAGAGGGAAGGCAGCTAGTCATCACCACCCACCGCCAACTTATGGGCTACTCTTTTACTAACGAATAGTGGGATTGACCGTCACATTATAACGCCCCCACGGCTGAAAGGGCGAGCATGTTTGGTGGTATGCGGATTCGAACCCGCGACCCTCAGATTGCGAGTCGAGCGCCTTATCCACCTGGCCATGCCGGGCCGTAACTTCGTTCCGACGAAACTTTAGCGACACAAGTTCTTTGCTTAATAAAACTGGTTTATTCTTTCCGAATACAACTTTACGATACACTTATTTTCAACAATCGCGCTGAAACAAACGCTATATCAACGAACGTCAATAATACTTCTGACTGCAGTTCAATTACTCACTATCTTCACACACACATTACCTTATTCTCTCGTCACGTTGTCACCCTCTTTTATATACCAGACTACCCTATATCTAGTAAATTCTAGAGCATTCGACAAGGTACAAGATAGTTCTAAAAACGTGGCGTCACGGTAGTCATGTGACTCGCTGACGCAACACTGCCTCCCGAACAATAACCACATATAATAAACCAATAACAATAACTTAATTAAAAT